ATTGTATTGACTTAGAAGATATATAAATTATTTTTTTTCAAATCTAACATATTGTATGCAAATCATTTTTTTTTTCAATTCTAATATGTTGTGTTTTTTTTTTTTCAATTCCAACATGTTAAAACTCCAAAAAAAATCGACAAGTTTGTGTGGATCACAAAGAAATAACATACTTTGAAAAAATTTTTCAAAGGGAAATATTTCCTTTCCATAAGTTATTTTCTTTTGTTTGGATGACTCTGAAAAAAAATTTTACGACAACATTTTCTGTTGTTTGATTGACATTGGAAATCTTCATATTTCCCCCCAAAAAGAGTCCATCATAGGAATCATATTGAATATGAAAAAAACTCTAAGGACTTATGTAAAAAGGAATAAATATTTGAGGATTTCATCTAGGATATTGCCCACACGTCTTTACCTTCTTCTTCTTAAGCTCAAATTGGAGAATTGTATTTGTCTTCTGTAGTGATGGTAATGATGGAAGTCCGAAGTCCCGTACCTTGGATGAGTTAAGTTTTTTCCGGCCACCTTACGTTTTCCTTTTGGGTTTTACCAGGTTTGTTTGGTTTTGGGTTGGTTCTTTTTGACTTTTTTTTCTGTTACTTTTTTCCTTCCTTAAATTTTTTTTTGGGGGTTTTTTCCGTTATTTGCCCCCCTTGCCTTCGTTTTTTTTGCAGATGTGCACGTGTACACCTCTTTTTGGGCTCTATATCCCTCTCTCGGGTTTTTTCTTTTAGGTGTTTTTAAAACCTCTCTCTCGCTTTTTTTTGTGTTTTTTTTTTCAAACCTTTCTCTTTTTTTGTTTTGCGTGTCAGTGTGTCTCCCCAAGGGCCACCTTGGGGGCTTTGCGGTTTATTTGAGGGGCTTTTTTGATTTGAGGAGGGTTTTGAGTTTTTTTGCATTACCTTTTGGCGTTTTTTTTGGGAATGGGGTTAAAGGTTTGTAAGTGACTAAAATGGTTAACATGTGTTCAACTGAGCATGGGAACCCTTAATAGGGTAGAGGAAAAGGTCAATTATAGAGTAGCAACCCTATGCCTCAAATGATGTCATCCCCTATTGCCCAACATCAGCATGCAAAAAGAGTTGGAGAGAACAACCCACAACACCTAGGTGTGGTCCTGAATGATGCCATAGTTGCCCAGCTCAATGCTATGCAACAGTAGTTCGGTGTGTTTCAGCTTGTATTTGCATAGCTATTGGCTAGAGATAATCTAGGTGATCCCTTCATCACCTTATTAAACCCAACCAACCATGCAACCAATCACCAGCCTCCGCAAAATGTCAATTCTTCAATCCAAAGTGCCGCTGCACCTCAAAGCAAGTCCTAAGTCCAATCCCACATGGCACCTCCACCTCCAAATCCACCTCAACCAGTTGCTTCAGATGTTTCCAAGAGGTTGGATATCCTAGAAAAAATGATGGCCAAGAACCGAAATGGGCCACCTCCGGCTTAACCCAGTTCAACCTCTATCCCTACTCCCTTTAAGACCAACATCATTCAAGAACCATACCCATCTGAATTCAAAATGCCTCAATTTGGGACGTATGATGGGACCATAGATCCCGATGATCATTTGCATGCATTCTATTCTACTATGTAGGCTTAGAATGCCTCGGATGCTCTGATGTGCAAAATATTTCTCTCTACATTGAGAGGCAATGCTCGAACTTGGTACTATAGCTTATAGCTGAACTCAATCAATTTATATGCCAAGCTAGCAACGTCTTTTGCAACTAAGTTCTCAAGTTGACGATTATTAAGAAAGACAACCTTTGAGCTCATGAGAGTAGTTTAGAGGGAAGGTGAGTCTTTGAAGAATTACATGAACAGATTCAATGATACTATGTTGGAAATCGGCTCATTCAATCAAGTCGTGGGAATAGCTGCTATAATTCAAGGTCTCAAGCACGAGAGATTTTGGGACAACCTGATAAAGCATCCACTTACCATGTTTGACGAAGCTAATGAGAGGTTCTGCAAGTTTATCACAACTGAAGAGTATGCTTTATCTGACAAGCCCACACCTAGTGATGAAACTAGAAGTCCGACTTGGAGGGAAGAGGGGCTAAGTAGGAAGAAGTTCAAAGCTGTACATAATAGAGGCCCACTTTCTACTCCCAAAGTTGACAAGCCCAGTTTGAACACCTCGTAGACCATAGCAAATCAGATCACTTGGACCCCATTCACATTGCCGAGGTCACAAATTCTGATGTAGATTAAGAATAAGATGGAGCTCAAAAGGCCCCCACCTATGTGAAGCTTACCTGCTTCTAGAGATCATAGTAGATATTGTGACTTCCACTAAGATCACAAGTAGACCACAGAAGAATGTAACAGTTTGAAGTCCAAGCTTGAAGGTTTAGCTCACAAAGGATGTTGAATGAGTACATCTCAAATAGAGATCAGCTCAAGTTTGTGCGAGAATAAGGACAACAGTCTCAAGGACCTCGAGATGCAAGCAATAAAACTAGAGTCGGTTACCAACAAACTACACCCCACTTCCTCCACTTTCACACATCATTCACATGATAAATGGTGGGCTCGAAGCAATAGGGACAAGCTCCAAGCAACAGAAGCTGTATGTGAGGGAGGTGAAGCATTAGAACCGAGCTCAGAAGAGGAAGTTCGACGAAGTAGATTGGAAGAGCCAATCTATAACTTTCACTTCGGCTGATCTAGATGGTGTTGTCACATCACACAATGACCCATTAATCACCTCTGTCATCGTCAATAATTGCGAAGTTCAGCGTGTGCTTGTTGACATCAACAATGCTCTTGATATTATGTATTATCATTGTTTTGATAGCCTCGGTCTCGATCTTGCTCTTTTGTAGAAATACGATGGCCCCATGTATGGGTTTAACAACTAGCCAGTCCTTGTGAAAGGAGTCCTAAGGCTCAACGTGGCCTTTGGTTTAGGTTGGACATATGTAACTCCTTCAGTTTGATTTTTGGTTGTGAAGATGGTTTTGTCTTTCAACATTGTTATTGGGAGGCCTACTTTGATCAAGATTGGAGCTGTTGTTTCACAATCCCATATATGCATGAAGTTTCCTACACCCATGGGAGTGGCCACTCTCATAGGCAATCAAGAAATAGCAAGACATTATTATATGACCTTTGTCACCCAACCTCGAAAAGATAAAGAGGCACCTCAGCTATTAGAGCCACCTCAACCGAAGGCTCCAAGCAACCAACAGGTAATGGGTGTAGAGTTGCTAGATAACAACCCTGAAGATGAGACTAGGGCCACCCTGGTGGAAGAAGTGGAAGAAGTGTGGATTAATGATAGTGATCCTACCAAGAAGACGTAAATTGGCACAAAACTGAGCCTGAAGGAGAGGGAGGAGCTCATAAGCTTCCTCAAGCTGAACAAAGGTGCATTTACGTGGACCTCAACTGACATGCCCAGAATTTCAACCTCGGTTACAGTGCACAGGCTGAGCACCAATCCTTTGAAGAAACCAGTTGTCTAGAAAAGATGTATGTTTGGAGGGGAGAGGCTTAAAGTCATCAAGGAAGAAGTGTAGAAGCTCTTACAAGCCGGATTTGTGAGAAGGTAGACTATTGTGAATGGTTCGCTAATCTCGTTTTGGTGAAGAAGTCAAATGACAAATGGAGGATGTGCATTGACTGCACCAATCTCAATGATGCTTGTCCCAAGGACTGCTATCTCATGCCCAGCATAGACAAGCTAGTAGAAGCTGGCTCAAGGATTGAAAGGTTGAGTCTTTTAGATGCTTACTCGGGGTACCACCAGGTCCACATGGCACCCGAAGATGAGGTGAAAACCTCCTTTTATGTAGGTGACGAGATCTACTACTATGTAATGATGCCATTTGGACTAAAAACTGTGGGGGCCACGTATCAGAAAATGGTAACATTTGTGTTTTGAGCTCAGATTGGTAGATATCTAGAGGTCTATGTAGATGATATAGTAGTCAAAAGCCTCAAAGCAGAGGACTAGCTGATTGACCTGGTTAAGGCATTCGACAATTTAAGGAAGCACAACAGGAGGTTGAATCCTACAAAATGTGTTTTCGGTGTTGAATCTAGCAAATTTCTAGGATTTATGGTTTTTAGGAAGGGGATAGAAGTCAATTATGAAAAGATAAAAGCAATAGGAAAGAGGAAACCATCGAGGTCAATCAAGGATGTGCAGCACTTAATGGGATGGGAAACAACTCTGCATAGGTTCATCTCTAAGTCAACAGACAAATGCATGCCCTTCTTCAAAACCTTGAGCTCTGCAGCCCATAAGGATAAAGCGAGGAAGCCCAAGAAGTTTGAATGGACTTTAGAGTGTCAAGCGACCTTCGATGAGCTTAAGGCATACCTCAGCTCGCCGCCTCTGCTGATCAAGGTTGAAGAGGGTGAGAGATTCTTTATCTCTACCTTGGGATATCTAACACAACAATAAACTCCGTTTTGCTTAAAGAAATGGGAAAGCAACAAAGGCCAGTGTATTATGCCAACAAAGTGTTATAAGGGGCTGAGCAGAGGTACTCCATAGCAGAAATGGCAGCTTTGCCAGTTGTCACAACGGCTAGGAAGCTGAGGCCATACTTTCAATGCCACCATATTGTTGTGTTGATTAACCAACCTTTAAGGTAGATTTTACAGAAGTCGGAGTGCTTAGGTAGGCTCATCAAGTAGGCAGTGGAGCTGGGGGAGTTCTAGATCACGTTCCAATAGAGGTTGACAATCTGAGCTCAAGCCTTAGTAGACTTTGTAATGGAGTGCACTTCTACTTAGGTGAACTCAAGCGATGAAGCAGAGCTATGTACTCTTTATGTTGATGGGTCATCCAGCAACAAAGGGTCGAGTGCTGAAGCAGTGTTGATTGGACCTAAGAATTTTCGAAGTGTGCACGCATTGAAGTTAAATTTTGAGGCAACAAATAACATGGCTGAGTATGAGGCGTTGCTCCTTAGACTTCATTTAACAACTGAGCTCAAGGTCAAATCTTTGCAACTAGGTGAATTACGTGTGAGGTCACAAATTCAACTTTTGCAAAATATGTGGTTACAGTTTCTGAATTGAAGTGCCATTTTGAGAGATTTCAACTCACAAAGGTCCCAAGAGCAGAGAATGAACATGCAGATTCCTGGTCAAAGTTACCTTTTGATAGCTCTAGTGGAGTGAGATCTGTCTATGTCAAAGTCTTCAATGAATCGAGCTTCCAAGCGTGGAGGGTGATGGAGATTAGTTCTGATCCTAAAACTCTTAGCTGGACAGATCCATCAAAGCATACCTCTAAAATGGTATCGTCCTAGATGACAAGCAAGAGGAGATGAAGCTGTGGAGGAAGGCATCTCGGTACACCGTAGTTGATGGCATCCTATACAAGAGGTCATATTCACTTCCCCTCCCACGTTGTTTGACCCTTTATGAGGCTAAGTATGCCCTTCACAAGGTACATGAAGGTGTATGTAAAGTCATGTAAGAGCTTGAACTTTGGCCCATAAGGTACTTCAGCAACGATACTACTGGCCTAATATGCAAGAAGATGTGAAAAGGTTCGTTCAAAAGTGCCAAAAATGTCAAGTCTTTGCACATCTTACTCATCAACCTGCAGAAGAACTCACTAATTTGGTTTCACTGTGGCCTTTTGCCCAATGAGGTATAGATCTTTTGGGTCCTTTTGTTAAGCGAGTTGGGGGATTGATGCATTTAGTCGTCATTGTTTATTATTTTACAAAGTGGGTGGAAGCTTGGCCTCTCTTTAACCTAACCTGGAAGAAGATTGAAGACTTTATTTTTAGCTTGGTTATTTACAGATATGGGATACCGAACCAGATCATTGCTGATAATGGACCTCAATTCAATTGCACTTCTTTCAAAGACTTTTGTTCCAATTATGGAATTAAACTAGTATTCACTTCAGTTTACCACCTCGAGGCGAATGGAATGGTCGAATCAGTCAATAAAGCTATCTTAGAAGGAATCAAACTCAGGTTGGATCAACTCAAAGCGAAATGGGTAGACAAGCTCAATAATGTCCTTTAGGCTTATCAAACCACGAGTCGAACAGCTACATGTACGCAACTAGTTCCAATCTCCTTTTCGCTTTTGTCTGAGGTCATAAGTAACTATGTAAACCCTAACTGCTTGTTTGGAGGGCTGGACAAATTGCGGGATTGGATAAAAAATTATCTTGTCCAACTTAATCTCATGTTTGGAGGGTACTTGGGATAAGATAAATAATATCCAATGATTTGTTACGTAACCCCTAACTGCTTGTTTGGAAGGCTGGACAAATTGTGGGATTGGATAAAAAATTATCTTGTCCAACTTAATCTCATGTTTGGAGGGTACTTGGGATAAGATAAATAATATCCAATGATTTGTCCAGTCCCATCCTCAAGAGATAAATTTAATCCCACCATACCCATGGGATACGAATGGATTGGCTTCAATTTACCAACTCTACCCCTTTATTCTCACTATTTTCTTCTTGATGGCTCACCTCTCTTTTTCTTAAATTTGGTATGAGAAAATGGAGCTCCGGTTAGATCTATATCTTTGTCGGCTTCACAGATTTAGTGTAAGGAAAACAAAGTCTCTTCAATCATCAAAAAATCAACTACAAAATCTGATCATCTTCATCTCTGGCAAGGTGGTCTGATAGCATTATCAGTAAAAATTGGAAGATTCACTATTAGTAATTTCGCACATTGCTTGCCTTCTTCTTCATCCTACTTCAACCTATCCTTTGTTGAAATCAAAGAACCCGACTGAAAACCAAGTCAAATACAAGAACCTGTGATTAAAAAAAAGTTCCCTAGTCCTGTTGAAAAAGATGAACAATAGAAAAATGAAGGAGGCATTCGGGCTTCTATGTGTTTCCAAGAAAAAAAGAAAGAAAGAAAAGTATTTAATAATAATTGATAAATTAAATAATTAAATAAGGAAACATAATTTGTTTGGTTAATTAATGAAAATTAATTTTGTTAATAAGTTAAATTAATGAAAATTAATTTTATTAGTAAATGAGAATTATATGATTGTTTGAATTATGTGGGAGCTCTAAGTGGAAGGTAAAGAAGGCCAACCCCAATAAGTGTAATTTAAGTGAAAGTGAGGAAGAGGAGGTGGGGAGGTTAATAAGGTTAGGGGAAGAGGTCGTTGACATCATTTATCTGACAAGCTCCCTCACTTTGTGTCATTGACAAAGAAAAACTTTATCCTTTCACCCCTTAATGGAGGAAGGCCCAAAGTTGAAAAGGTTTCTGCTTTGGCCCCTCACTACTTGAGGTGTGAAGTAAAACCACCCCTTCTCCTTATTGCTCTCTCCCTTGATCAAGAAAAAATATTTGAACAGGCTTACAGTTGGCCTGATCACACCTTGAACTTGGTACTATACTAAGAAACCTATGATCAACCGGACTGCATTTGGGATGAGCTATGTCAAGCCCAAGCAATACTCGTTCAGCAACCCCACCAACAATTTTGGAATGGGGAATCTTAGCCCAGCTTGCAGGTAGTGTGCATAAACCGACATCCAATGATCCCCAGGAGACGGACAAGCTCGCTCCTCTTCACTAGCAGGCCTCAAAAGCACATGAGATGGAATGCTGTAATTATTTGCCAGGTGCACCATGCTACTCTTGTCCCTCCAGGACGCTTCATAATTTATCACCTTAGAAACGACATCCCCCTCATCGAAATGCCTTTGCCTCCCATCAATACCTTCCAAAATCTTAGCAGGGATCTCCACCTCTTCCTCCTCCTCTACACTTTCCCTGCTCGTCGAAGTTTCCACTTCAGACTCCTCATCTTGCCTTACTGGCACCACCTCTTCACCTCTGCCAATGCTTAATGTCTCCTCATACGACATCTCTTCCATTTCGTAGCTTTCATTACAAAGGGTGGGAGGTGGAGAATAGTTAGGATCCTCTACTAACTCTCTCTCACGCTCAATCTCACTCTTTGACCTTACTCTAACTTCCCTAAGCAGACTTAAATCTAAGTCTGAGAGAGTTAGAGGTACGTAAGACACTTCACTCAATTAGAAGTAGAGCTCATGAAGTTACCTAACTTCGATTGACGAAGAGCAACACTTGGGAAAATCCACACAAGCACAATGCATGCATTAAGAACATGACCTCGAATTGCAGAATACTCTAGTAAAATTTTGGCAGCACTTCAGTACAAATTCAGTTAGGTGAATTTGAAAATTACTCAGCTCCATCTATTTATACTAAGGCCTTAATTTACTCAATAATCATGATTGTCTACATTCAACGACCATCATAGCGTCTTTTCAAATTCGGTAATTATTCCAAATTACTCATTTATTGCAGCACGTCACACGAGGACAACTATCAACTAACCAAATAACCTACTCTCAGTTACACTTTAAAGACCTATCTAAATTCAACGTAACTATTTTAACCCCTTTTTAAAATATTGTTATACATACCTAGTCATGATATTTTCACTTTGGCTCCGATCGTACAATACATGACCACGTGTCATGATATTTTTCACTTCGACTTCGATCATACATTACATGACGGTATCATGATATTTTCACTTCAACTTCGACAGTACAGTACATGATCACATGTCATGATGTCTTTACTTCGGCTCTGGCCATACATTACATGACCACGTGTCATGACATGTCCACTTCGACTTTGGTCATACATTACATGACCGCATGTCATGATATTTTCACTTTGGCTCCAACCTTATGTTCCACGACCACGTGTCGTGACACTCACCTTGACTTGAACCATAACTTTCATACCCACTACACAAGCTCCCATATCATTCACAAGTGAATGACTTTTGGGGGGAATAGTGTAGTGATGGTAATGATGGAAGTCCGAAGTCCCGTACCTCAGATGAGCTAAAGCTTTTCCAGACAACCTAAGATGTCACTTTGGAGTTTAATGAGCTTAGTTGAGTTTGAGCTCGATCTTTTTGAACTTGTTTTACAATAACTCTGTACATACCTAAAATTTCTTATGAGAGATTTTAGTGTTGATTGACACATATGACCTTGGTTTTTCGCAAAGATGAACACGTGGACACCTCTTTGAAGGCTATAAATACCCTTCAAGGGTCCTCTCCTTGAGATAATTAAAAAACCGATCTCAAGCTTTCTTATGCCTTCTTTCTAGCAAACTTGACTATTGCTGACTTAAGCATTAGAGCGTCTACCCTGAGGTTGGGAGGACCAACCTTGGGGCCTTGTAGATTAACTGAAGAGCAGATCTGAGTTGAAGAAGGATTTGAAGTTCTTTGCAGTAACATCTTCTTCTTCAAAAGACCTTGGAGATCAAAGACCTCATGGTGGTTGTCCTCCTCAAAGGCATAGAAGCTCTAGACACCTTAGCATATTATTGATAAGATTTTGAAGTAGTGGAATATTGCTATATTACGAAAGTTTTTCTTTGATGAGAAATAGTTAAGTTTTGTTTTAAAAGTGCAAACGAGGAAGTAACATGTGAAAATTAGTCATGTGAGTTTCAATTTAAGGTTTGCATCCAATCCAAATTCAAATGATAATAAGTGGAGTAATTTTAATATCTAACTTACATATTTTTTTGTTGTTTACTTGATGTGGAATTTTCTAATTTAACAACTTGACAAGACAACATATTAAGTGAGAAAATTCCACATTGAGCAAATAACAAAAAAGAATATGGCTTAAATATAACAAGGGCTACTTCATCTATTGTCAATTAATTTTAAATTGAATGTAAATATTGTGTTGAAACTCACATATTTAATTTTCATATAATAGTATTGGCACCAGCCACCACCATTATGGCAGCAAAATTTGTGAAAGCACTCAATCAAAAGTCACTTTAGTTGAACCCAACAGAGGCACCATGGTTTTGAACTTCTTGATTGAAAATCAATGTTGAAACCCGCTTGATTTGATAATTTTGGATCTTTAGATTCATGTGTTTTCAAATATGTTTTCAAAGGAAAACAACTTCTTGAAAAACATTCTAGAAGTTGATTTATAAAAAAATACAATGGTTTTTTCTATTGACTAGTTTTCAAGATGACTCTCAAAGATAGGAAAATGGAGAAAATGATTTTTGGAAATAATTTTCCATGAACCAAATGGACCCTAAAGGTTGCCAAATCACTCTCTTAACAAAGGTAATTGAGGATGGTAGCCATAATGTCTACAAGGAAATGAAAAGTCGAGTAGTGTGCTTGAGTATTGAAACTTGCGTGAGATTGCTTGAAGATCGATACTTGAAAGTGGGCAACGTTGAGTTGGTTTTAGAGAGGGGCAGGGCTTCCTTTCAATGGCCAAGGCCTTCTGGTATTTATAGCCTGAATTGGAATGCTGTTAGAAATATGGAATTCTGTTGGAATGTTGAATTGGTGTTTATAGCACCCCAATTTCAATGCTGGTGAGTAAAGTTGGAGGAGGGGTGGAAGTTTCATTGCAGGAGACCTCAAACAATTTGTTCATGTAGCAATCTGCTCCAATTCCAACGGGGTATGGAATGCTGACATTCCCACAAAACTCTTGACAACCAGGCATTCCTAGAGCTTGGCCTCTTGTTGATTCAATCATTAGCAGGTCCAAGAAAGCAAAAATAGGTAATGTTCAGATGATCATTATTCTTTTGCTCCTCAGATGCTTTTTAGATTTGAGATTTAGATAGCATTGTGTAAGTGGAACTTTATAATATATAGTTGAGATAAAGAAATGTATCCATGTTTCTATGCATGGTCTGGGACTAACTACCCAAACAATGAAGTTCTAAGGATACAATGTTTACTAGAAAAATTTAATCCACTTGAAAGTTTCTCCCTTTTTTTTTTTTCTTTTTTTTTTTTATCTTTTTTCCCTTCTAGAGGATGGTTGGTCCACTTGGATGGAAACTCTTAGCTTCTGTTTTACATAAAATTCTAATGCTTAAGGTGTGTTTGGTTTGTGAAAAATGACTCATTTTGGAAAATATTTTCCTCCAAAAAGATTATTTTTGGTTGTTTGGAAATTGGAACACTTTGGAAAATGTTTTCAAGAAAATATTTTATGTTTTTTGTTAAGCAAGGAAAAAACTTCATACTTTCATGAGATCCACCAAGTAAGGAAATGCATACACAATGTTTCGCTGATTGTTAATTTGTTGTCTGAGTGGTGAACATTTTTGGATAGTTGAACTAAAATTAGGAAATGACTCCGTGCTAGCCTTTTGAGAAATAAAAATAAATAACTCATGCATACACATGCTAATACTTATGTGAATATAGCACCAACTCTAAAAAGTAAACAGAAATAGAAATGACTTCCATCATGCGTTTAGGACTTGGTTAAGCCTTGGCAAGTTTTTTACTGTGTTTTGGCCAAAAAAAAAAAAAAAAACCTTGGCAAATTATTATAAGTCAAAATGAATTTAAAATAGAAATAGAAATGGTTCAATATAATTTAGCCTGTCAATTACATCATAACCATGTTGCGCAAAACATTATTTGAACTTTGAACTGCAAAGTGACAGAAATAAAAATTGAATGAATTAAAAATTTTCAGACACAAACAAACAAAGAGCGTATTATGTCCCCGAACTAGGAATAAATGCATTCTAGGATTGATCAGTTAAAGCCCCATGATTCACTGGAAATTAATGGCTCCATGTCTAAAGACGAAGCTGCTTTAGAGTTTAAATCTGAATCTGTTGGAGTCGAGGCATCATCCCAGAGATTGGTTACTTCACTTTTGACATACCTAACCTCTTCTTGATTTTGTTGACCATTTGAAATGTTTCGCAAAAGACAAATCTGCTTTATCTCTGCAGCAACTTCTATCATCTTTGGCCACTTCTTACCCTCAAGCTCAAGCATCGATATGCAAGTTTAGTAACCTTTGTTATCTCTTCATGTGCAGAACTCTCCTTTACTTGAGCATCAAGAATATTGAAGAGTCTGTTCTCTTCCATGGAAAAAATGAAATGTGAGGCCAAACTTCTTGCTTCCACTTCCTTAGTCCCTACTAAAGAAATTGGTTTTTCTCCGGTTAAGAGCTCAACAAGGACAACTCCAAAGCTATAAACATCACTCTTTTATAAATTGACTTGATCAGAAATATTTAGGGTCTAAGTAACCAAATGTGCCCTTCACATATGTGGTCAAATGAGTTTGACCAATCACAATTGATGTTGATGTCCTCAAAGTCTGAAACTATTACCCTGTACTTTTCATCTAGTAGAATATTTGAGGGCTTGATATCTTTATGATAAATCGGAATGAAGGCTGCTGAGTGCAAGCAGAAAAGTGCAAGTGCAACTTCTGCTACAGTTGTTAACCTTTTTTCCCAGATCAATGGGAAGTCCATATTTTGATCATGTCCGTATTGGAAAAGTGTCCCATTGGAGATAAATTCATTAACAAGTAGAGGAACTTCAGCCTATAAACAACAGCTTAATAACTAAACAATATTTCTATGGTTAATTTGTGTAAGAATGACCACCTCATTAATGAACTCTTTAACTTTCTCTTTGTACAATACTTTGGACTTCTTAACCACAACAATTCTTCCATCAACCAACATACCTTTATAAACTTTGCCCTAGCCTCCTTGAGCAAGTATTCTATTCCTGTTGAAATTGTCAATTGCTTTCTCGAACTCTTTGGTTCTAAATATTTTGGTCTTTTCAATGTTACCCTCAATTGAAGATAGTTGTTACTGCAATAATAAACCTCCATTTTGTTTGAAGAACTGCTTTTGAAACATCTTTTTCCTCCACTTCTTTAAGATTTTGTGCAACCACCATGTACCAATAGCTAAACACACTACTCCTAACCCTAGGCTAATACCTACAGATATCACGAAAGAAGAAGCAGATGATGTTAGCAAGAGATATAAAATGAAATGGAATCAGCAAAAGTCCAGTTTCATGGTTAGACTATTCAAATTTCAAAATGAAATGAAATGAAATCAACAAAAGTCCACAGGATTGCGCATGGTCTTTAAGAAAGATCTTTAGGTGAAAAAGATGATGAGAGATGTTGTTAGTATATATTGAAGCTGGGGACGGTAGATAGACAAACAAACCTCCCTTTGTTATGACTGTTGGCTACAAGAAGATAGAATTTTTGAAAGGCTAGGAAAAATAACTGAGTTCACCATGGGCAGCATGAAACAATTGTTCTCAATGGAGACAATCTGGATGGCAGATACCAACTAGATATTATGGGTATGGTGGTTGAGATCAAAGGCTTGATTTTGTCTAAGGGAGCAGATAATGCTTTCTTGCACTCAAGAGGATTATCAATCAATTGAAGTTGTCAATTGTCAATTGGTGAGGTTCCAGGTTTATAGAGTTCCTTGGTTTAGATAGGTGTGACAGTGTGGCATTCTAGGAGGATTCCTAGACAACTGTTTATCCTATAGATGTTAGTGACAAGCTCTATTGAAAACATAGGTATTGAACTGCAAGGGTATGCGTTTGAGCTTAAATTGATTTTGAGTTTAAAATTGATTTATATTCAAAAAAATGATAAATAAAAGTCCGAAAATATGGATCTTACCCAAAATTATAGGCCAGGCTATTTTGCCTTTGGGTTTGCAAGCGTAGTCCCCTATCTTATTTACACAAATTGAGTCCCAACCACAGTTAAAAATGTGCCTGGGTTCATGCATTTGTCAATATCTAAGACAAAAAATAATAATAATAAATAAATAAATAAAATTAGCAAGACGATACTAACAAAAATAAAAAATATCATGGCATAATAAAAAAATTCCAATTGGTTCACCTGCCACCCTTGGTTTACCTTGACATCCATAAGGTAGGTAAGAGTTGCCTTGAAATCCATGGTCACAAAACCATTGTCGACTTGTGTTTAGGGGCATTGGAGGGAGGGAAGAAGTATTATAAAAGAAGAAAGAATTAGCAATAGTACCATTAAACTGGGAACAATTAAATGCATGCTCATATCTATATGGTAATTGTGATGCATCCTCATCAGTAATCACCCAGTGTAACACAGCTAGAACATATCCCTCAAGGAGCAACGACATTCTCTTTTTGTAGGACATGAAAGGATTTCCCGATAAATCCAAAAATTTCAAACTTATAGAACACTGTTGGGAGATGATTGGCATTTGGACATTAACTATGTCATGATCAAGAGAGAAATACAGCACCTCAGTCTCTATGCTGGTTAGTAAAGTTGTAGGAGGGTTGAAAGTTTTGTTGCAGGAGGGTTGAAAGTTTTGTTGTAGGAGACCTCAAACCCTTTGTGCATGTAGCAATCTGCTCTGATTCCAAAGGAATATGGAATGCTGACATTCCCACAACGCTCTTTATAGCCAGGCTTCACCAGAGCCTGGCCTACTACTAATTCAATCATTAGCAATCGTAGGAAAGCAACGATAGATGTTCTCATGATAATCATCATTCTTTTGTTCCTCAAATGCTTATTAGATTTGAGATTTAGGAAACATTGTGTAAATGGAACCTTATATATCATAAAAATGAAGAAATGTATGTAGGATGCATGTTTTGGGACTAACTGCCCAAACATTGAAGTCCAAACTCCTAAGGAAGAAAGACTCAACTGGCCGGCTTCACTAAATACAATCTCATGCATTACTAGAACATTTTAATCCACTTGAAAATTCCCTTCTCTTTTAGAGGATGGTTGGTCGCCACTCAGAAATATTCTAAGCTTCTAGTTTCACATAAAATTCTAATGCTTAGATATCATTAACACATTCACTTGTTGACCAATTGATGAATACTCCTTTAGTCTGATTTAGTTGTCTCACTTACTAAATAGACCTAATCTAATTAGTCATCTCACTTGTTAAATAAAAGCTGTCAAATTTAGTTATCTCACTTTCTATTTTAAAAAGATTTTTTAATTGAAATTTTAAAAAGACTTAAATACTAGTATTTCAATTTTCATTATTTGAGATGAAATAAAAATGCATTTGAGTTTTTTGGTTTAATTGTAAGGATGAAAATGGAAAGATGTAGACTGAATTATATCATCTTGGTTCTCCGTATTATGCACGGTGGAAATTAGGCCTCTTCTTGTCTTATGATACTTGTTTTGACTTTCAAGTTTGCAAAGAGAAAAAAACTACTTGGAAGGCTATTTCACGGGAATAATCGTCTACTTTGACGTTTTTGCACATAGGTAAGTCCTATTTCCTGGTTTTTCAATGCTATAATTACCATGTTATCTTAGAATATGTTATTTTATCTATACAGGAATTAAGGGCATTTCATGCTAGTCTGATGATTGTTTTGTTAAATGTTGAAGGTGTGAATAACTATATTTTCCTTTCAAATTTTTCCTCACACTTTCATAAGATAAACCAAGCAAGGAAAATATACTCAATGCTTTTTTTCTTAACAGCAAAATATACTCAGTGCTTTACTGTGAATCTGTTAAGATAAATTTGTCTGAGTGGTGAAAGTTTCAGGATAGTTGAGCTGGAATTAGGAAATGACTTTGTGCTAGCATTTTGAGGAATACGATTAAATAACTCATGCATACACATATTAATATGCACATGGCACCAAATCTAAAATTTTACTTAATTTAATCTTGGCAAGTTTTTGTGAGACAAAGAATTTAAAACTGAAAATGAAATGGTCTTAGCTGTCATCATGATATCAAATTATTGTAACCGAGCAGTGCATAAACTTTATTTGAACTTTAAACTACAAAGCAACAAAAATAAAAATTAGATGAACTACAAATTTTCAAACACTAAAGAAAGACACAGCTTATTATGTTCCTCAACATGGAATAAATGCATTCTACAATAAATCAGTTAAATTCCTGTGGTTTATTGGTAATTAATGGTTGCATGTCTATGGACAAAGAAGCTCCAGAGTCCCAAACCTGAACCTATTGATGTCGAGGCACCATCCTAGAGATTGGTTACTTCACTTTTGACATACGTAACCTCTTCATGATTCTGTTGACCATTTGAATTGTTTTGCAAAAGACGAATCTGCTCTAACTCCATAGCAACTTCTATCATCGTTGGCCACTTTTTACCATTCAAGCTCAAGCATCGATGTGCAAGTTTAGCGACTTTTGTTATCTCTTCATGTGTAGAACTCTCCCTAGCTCGAGCATCAAGAATACTAAAGAGACTATTCTCTTCCATGGAATGAATGAAATGAAAGGCCAAACTTCTTCCTCCTTTTGCCCTTGCTAAAGAAATTGGTTTTTTTCTTGTTAAGAGCTCAACAAGGACAACTCCAAAACTGTAAACATCACTCTTTTCTGTAAATTGACTAGATTGGTAATATTCAGGGTCTAGGTATCCAAATGTGCCCTGAACTTTTATAGTCAAATGAGTTTGATCATTGGCAATTGATCTTGATATCCCAAAGTCTGAAACTTTTGCCTTGTACTTTTCATCCAATAGAATATTTGAGGACTTGACATCTCTATGATAAATGAGAATAGAGGCTGCAGAGTGCAAGTAGGAAAGGGCAGCAACAACTTTTGCTGCAATTGTTAACTGTCTTTCCCAGGTTAATGGGAAGTCTTCATTTTCATCATGTATGTACTGGAAAAGTGTCCCATTAGGGATGAATTCATAAACTAGCAAAGGAACTTAAGTCTCCAAACAACAGCCTAATAACTTAACAATGTTTCTGTGATTAATATGTGTAAGAATGACTACCTCATTGATGAACTCTTTAACTTTCTCTTTATCCAGTACTTTTGACTTCTTAACTGCAACAATTCTTCCATCAACCAACATTCCTTTATAAACAGTGCCTTGGCTTCCCTGACCAAGGATTCTATTCCTGTTGAAATGGTCAGTTGCCCTCTCCAACTCCTTGGTACTAAATATTTTTGTCTTTTCAATATTACCCTCAGTTGAAGAAAGTTGTTGCTGCAATAATAAACCCCCGTTCTGTTTGAAGAACTGCATCTGGAGGTTCTTTTTCCTTCTCTTCTTTAAAATTTTGTACAACCAGTATGTACCAATAAGTAAGCACACTACTCCAAACCCTAGGCTAATGCCTGCAGAGATTAAGAAAGGAGAAACAGATGACTTTAGCAGGAGGTACACATGTATATCAAAACTTGATTGTATAAAAGTCCAGTTTCATGGTTAGTTAGAAAATTTGAAATGAAATGAAATAAACAAATAAAAGTCCACGGTTTTGTGCATAGTCTTTAAGAAAGATCTTTGGATGGTGTTAGTAATTAGTATTGAAGTTGGGGATGATAGACAAACCTCCCTCTTTTGTGAGTGTTGGCTACTAGCTGACAGACTTTGTGATAGGCTACAAAATATAGCTAAGATCACCAACTGTGGGGCATGGAACAAAATTTCCCAGTGGGGGCAATTTGAATGGCAGATACCACTACTTTTGTAAGGAGATATTCTGGTATCGTGCTGAGATCAAAAGGCTGGACTTTGTCTGAGGGAGCGAATAAATTTTTATTCTAATCAGGGGCTTCTCAATCAATAAAGCTACCAATTGTCAAATGATGAGGTTACAGACTACCAAGTTCATATAGTTCTGTAAGGATAGGTCCGAGGTGCCAAGCCTCGGATTGCTACAGTAATTCCTTTATGACCGAAGTGAGAAATGAATCCAAAGCTTCCTGCTCAAATAGCTGCATGACAATGACAATAAGCATGCCCGCACCTGATTCCTTATGACGAGTGGCATAGCAAGTATGGTGGACATCCGTGCATCTGAATACCTCTCAAATTCCCGGTCCCGAAATAATCGTCTGGATAGACACGTTAGGCTCCGATTATCTTGCTTGGCATGCCACGTGGGTTCCTCATTGGATCCTATAAATACCCCCTTCGGGCCACGTCAAAAGGTAATTGAAACCAACCCTAAGCTCTTTTTATCTCCGCTCTAAAGGTAGCCCCGATTATTGCTAACTTAAGCATCGGAGTGTCTACCCCGAGTTCCACCTCGGGGCTTTGCAGGTCTTCCCGGAGTGCAAGCGTTGATTGAAGAAGGACTTCTGGTTTGGTGCAATTACATTGGCGCCATCTGTGGGAATCGAACTGAAAGCTTGTTAGTTGCTTTTTCATCATGGTTCACACTCGGTCAGTCCGGGCTGGAAATTCATCTCTGCCTCATGGGCAAGGTCAACCCCCCAACAACTTTCCACCTCTGATCCCACCTCAACTTACACCTCAGCTCCTACCTTAGGTCCCCACTATGTTCCCTCCCGTTGATCATGCAGAAGGAGGAGATGAAAACCAACCTCATGCCTCAGCTCACAACTCAACTTCCACTGCCAACCAAGACATAGTGACAACTCAGCTTGCTGCCATGCAACAACAGTTTGGTGTTTTTCAATTGGTACTGGCGCAGCTTTTAGCCAAAAACAATCCTGGTGACCCCCTCATTAATTTACTGAACCATACTCAACAACCCCCAGCTCCACAACAGAATCCTCAACTAGTTCAGCATGCTCCCGCTATTAGTGAATCTCAGGATCAATCCCACATCGCACCCGCTCAACAACCCATCCCTGATGATATTACTCGCCGCCTCGATAGCTTGGAAAAGCTAGTAGCTGAACACCGAGGTGCTCCACCCTCACACCATGCTGCTGATTCTATACCTCACCCTCTGAATACCAACATTACACTGGAACCCTATCTTGCTGGCTTCAAAATACCACAACTGGAGACTTATGACGGGACGAAGGATCCCGATGATCATTTGCATGCTTTCTACTCTTGCATGCAAGCTCAGAACGCCTCTGACGCGTTGATGTGCAAGATCTTCCCCTCTACTCTCCGAGGTAATGCCCGAACTTGGTATTACAATTTACTTCCGAGGTCAATTAGCTCTTATATAGAAATGGCATCTGCCTTTGCCACTAAGTTTTCCAGTAGAAGGTTGATAAGGAAAACTACTTTTGAACTGATGCGAGTTAAACAGAGGGATGGAGAATCTCTGAAGAACTATATGAGCAGATTCAATGATGCAGTATTGGAGGTTAGTTCCTTTGATCAAGCCGTGGGAATTGCAGCTGTGATCTCCGGTCTTAAGCATGACAGGTTCAGAGACAGTTTGAGTAAACATGCTGCCACCACCTTTAGTGAGGTGAATGATAGGTCTCTCAAATTTATAACTGCTGAGGAATACGCCATGGCGCAAAACCCACCTTCCTCTAAGAACCAGAACCCAGATTGGAGAGATGACAATCCAAGCAGGAAAAGGATGAGGATGGCGCAGAACTGAGGTCCGATGTTGACCTCCCCAACAAGAGTCGGAAGGCCGAACTCAACACCCTCGCAACAATCTGCAGGTAAACCTCCAGTTAATTGGACTCCCTTTAATCTGCCGAGGTCACAGATTTTTATGCAGATTAAGAACAAAATGGATTTTGAGACGTCCTGGCCCAATGCGAACTGATGCTGCTAGTCGAGACCATACCAGATATTGTGATTTTCACTAGGATCACGGCCATACTACAGAGCAGTGTAACAGTTTAAAGTCTGAACTGGAAAGTTTAGTTCAGAAGGGAATGCTGAATGAGTATGTTCAGAGAGCTGAACAGCCAAGGTTTGTCAGAGAGTAGAGGCCGCAACCTCAAGGAGTCCGCAATCCCCCAAATAGACAGGGTGTGGGATATCAGCAAAACCCACCTCCGCTCCCACCACCAGCTAGAATTATACATATGATCACGGGAGGTCTGGAAGCAGGTGGACTGAGCTCTAAACAGCGAAAGCTGTATGTTAGAGAGGTTAAACATCAGAACCGAGCTCAGAAGCGGAAGATTGACGATGCTAAGTGGAAAACTCAACCCATTACTTTCACATCTGCTGATCTTGATACAGTTGTTACACCCCACAATGATCCCTTGGTCACTTCTGTCATAATTAACAACTGTGAAGTACAGCGTGTCCTTGTTGATACCGGAAGTGCACCAGATATCATGTACTTCCATTGTTTCGAGAGTCTTGGGCTGGATCCAGCGTTGTTGCAGAAATATGATGGTCCTATTTATGGCTTCAACAACCAACCTGTTCCGGTGGAAGGAGTTCTTACCCTCCATGTGGCTTTTAGGAGTGGCCGGACCTATGTAACCCCTTCAGTCCAGTTCCTCGTAGTCAAAATGGCGTCCTCTTTCAACATTGTTATTGGCCGACCCACACTGACTGAAATCCGAGTTGTGGTTTCCCAGTCTCACCTCTGTATGAAGTTCCCAACCCCTATGGGAATAGCAACACTGCGAGGAAACCAGGAGGTGGCCAGACATTGTTATATCACCTCGGTAACACAACCTACGAAGGGCAAAGATCAGACACCCGAGGCCATTTCCCAGCAAATTCCTAATACTCAGCAAGTTATGGGTGTAGAGATTGTAGATAATCGACCAGAAGATGAAACCAGGGCTGCTCCGGTCGAAGATGTTGAAGAAGTGCTCATTGTTGACAGAGATCCGAGCCGAAAGACGCAGATCGGAACTAGATTGAACCCGGAGGAGAGAGCAGAGCTAATAGCTTTTCTCCGAGCTAACAATGATGTATTTGCATGGACTTCGGCAGATATGCCAGAAATTCCAAAATCAGTGTCTCAACATAAGCTCAACACCAATCCATTGAAGAAACCAGTAGCCCAGAAGCGGCGTCTCTTCGGGGGGGAGAGGCTTCAGGCTATTAAAGAAGAGGTAGAGAAACTTCTACAAGCTGGTTTCGTCAGGAAAGTTGATTACTGCGAATGGGTGGCTAACCCAGTCTTGGTGAAGAAGGCAAACGGTAAATGGCAAATGTGTATTGATTATACAAATCGTAACCTAGTTGATTACTGCCCGAATCAGATTGTGGCCGATAATGGAACTCAATTCAATTGCTCTTCATTCCGAGATTTCTGTTCCAGTTATGGGATCAAGTTACAGTTCACCTCCGTTTACCATCCGGAGTCCAATGGCATGGTTGAATCTGTTAACAAATGCATTTTAGAAGGTATAAAGCCGAGATTGGAATAGCATAAGGCCAAGTGGGCAGACGAGCTCAACAACGTCCTCTGAGCATACAGAACCACGAGCCAAACTGCCACAGGTACTACTTTAAATTGAGTTTATTTGATTAATTTCTATATTATTTTACTTCTTCTGTTATGCTTTACCTTAGAGCAAATATGCATAACGCATAAAGCGCATTCTAAAGTTATAATCAACTGAAATAGGTGAAACACCCTACCACTTGGCCTTTGGTACCGAAGCAGTCATTCCTGTTTAAATAGGAGTCCCAAGCCTCCGAGTCACCCATTTCGATGAAGGATGAAATGGACAACTGCTTCGAAAAAACCTTGATCTGCTTGCTGAAGTCAAAGAAGAAGCTCGGCTTCGAACTCTTGTATACAAGCAGAAACTAGCCAGCTTCTACAATAAATGGGTCCGCCCTCGAACATTCAAAGTAGGAGACCTTGTTCTTAGAAAAGCTGGCCTAACGGGGTTTGAAACTCGTTTTGGCAAACTTGCCCCAAATTGGGAAGGCCCTTATGCCGTGGCCGATGTGCCACATCCTGGCGCCTATGTCCTCCAAGACGCTGAGGTAAAGAGAGTTCCTAGAGTCTGGAATGTCAATAACTTGAAGAAATTTTACCCCTAATAAAATTCTTTCAAGAGATCTATGTCTTGCTGTTCTTTACGCTTCTCACTTCGTGTTTGTTGAGATTCATTTTACCTCTTATTCTATGTATCTGAGGTCAATCAGTTCATTCATTCCTTGAACCTCACTTCTGTTAATAAATGTCACTTCACATTTGAAGTGCTTTATCTCCCCTCAATTCATTTACAGTGATATGCTTGTTATTAATTCACTTGAAGTGGTTTACTTCTCTGGAGTTCGTTTCTGAAGTGATTAATTTCTTTTTATTAACTATCCTTTTTAAAGGTAGTCTTAGTTCTTCTATCAATATATAATAATAAACAGGCAAACACAAATAAACACATTATTTCAAAAATAAACTTTCATTAAGAATAATATAAGTATTACAAACTGATTAAATGTCTTTACAAAAAATTAAAAACAAACAAACAAAATTATTTCTCTGCTGGGAGAGGTGGCTCCACTGGCTCCTGCTCAGCTGGAGGAGGTGGCTGTGTTGGCTGCTGCTCGTCTGGCAGAGGAGGCTGCTCATCGTCAGAAGGAACTGGATGAATCTCCACTTCTGGAACTGGTTGGCTCTCATCCACTTCAGTTCCCCCCACTCTTGCCTCCATCTCGTCCTCCTCTACCTCTGCCCCTTCTTCCTCCACTGCAACGAACTCGAAGTCGAATTGTGGAGGGAAAACAGCAAGACCGTCTGCATCATCCTCCCACCTTAGCTTAATCTGAGGACGAAAGTCTGCTGACATGCTTTCGCCATCCTCCTCCACTCCTCCTTCTTGCTCGCCGAAGGTGATCTTTGTTACATCCACTTCGGGATATTCAGCCTTCACCTTCTTTCTGCAGTCCGTGAAAGCAATGATGGCAGTGGGCAGCTGGTACAAGTTGATGATGCTGTCAAACGAGCTGGAACTGATGAAGTTGCTGATGTGCTCCTTCATCCCATTATGCACCAACTTCTGCATATTCCTCTTCAGCTCCTTGAATGCCTTTGTCATCAGCTTCATTTCTTGCGCCTGAACCTCACGCTCGCTTTCAGAGATCCTTCGTTTGCTCTCCTCAAAAGCGAGCTTGGTGCTTAAGGAAGCCCTCTCCTGCTCCAACTGTGAAACAGTTGGAACCACCTCATTCAGAGACTCTTGTAGTTCCTTATTCTTCTTCTCCAACTCCTCCTTCTCCTTCTGCAGTTGGTCACACTGCATCTGCAAGAGTGAGCGCTCCTTCAGGTTTTCCTTGAATTCCTGGGCTAGACCATTCACCCAACTCGCGCTTTGCAGATCAAAGCCGAGGTTAAGACAGAACAAAGAGAAGGCGAAACAGATTCACTAAACAACATCAATACTTTAACATACCTCTAGAACATGCTTCACCACGGACGCTCCACCATACCTCAAAGCTTCCTCCCGCGCGTTGCATCTGTCCACTTCGGGGAAGGTGTTGTTGATGAACCACCTAGCCCCCGTTATGTTCTTTGCCGCGAACAAGCTGCTCTGAGGCCCCAGTGGGGGAACAGGGCCCTTTCCCTTACCAGGAGCTCGTACCTCAGCCCCCTCCTCCAACTGTCTGAGCTCAAGGTTCAGCTCAACAGGAGGAGGCTGAGGTACGAACACAGGGACCTCATTCCCTGTCTCCTCCTCCACCACCCTCTGCTTCTTCTGTAGTGCCCTCCTCTCCTCCCACCCCTTCCTCTTCAACTGTGGCACCTCCTCCTCCGCCTCAACTGAAGTCGTGGGCACTACCTCCTTCCTCGCCCTCCCCTCATCCACTTGCTTGGTTGAAGTCTTTGACTTCTTCCTTGGCTTCTTGGGGATGGCCGCTCCTCCAGTAGTGTTTAAAAACTGGTCCATTTCAGCTGCAAAACAAGAATACACAATATTAATCACAGTTCTATACTCTACATTACTCTACATTCAGTATTACAATGCAGAATTAAATCAACCTTCACTCAAAGCGCTTGGCCCATAGAGCTCAGCAGCTTCTATGCATTGTGTGTTGGTGAGGTCCAAAATGTTTAATAAATCCCCCCCTTCCTCACCAACCTCCCCACTTCTTCCTCCTCATCCTCATTTAAGCTAAACCTATTCTAGTTGGCCCTTTTGGCCTTCCAGGAGGCTAACTCCCTCACCTCGGCATCCCCTTTCCCCCACTCCGTATCATCTACAAAAAAGAATTTCTCCTTCCATCCTTTAATGGATGAAGGACCCACCATAAACAACGACCTACTCTCCTTACTAGCTACCCTCAGGGTGAAATAATACCACCCCTTATCTCTCCTACTACCCCCCTTTAAAACAAAAAAATACTTAAACATATTTACAGTTGGCACGCTAATCCCCTGAGCTCGGCAATAGACTAAAAATCCTGTTATTACCCTCATTGCGTTGGGGACCAACTGTGTCAACCCTATGTTGTAATCTAACAGTAAACCCACTAGCAACTCAGGAAGTGGAAACCTGAGTCCCGCTATCAAATAGTGGGAATACACAGGCATCCAATGATCCCGAGGAGCAGAGCACGCCCTCTCCTCTACCCCAGCTGGCCTAACTAACACTAGAGACGAGATCTCGTAATTTTCTACTAAGTGACCCAGGCTATCCTTGGTCCTTAGCTCAGATCTGTACTGCTTAACCTCCTCCACTATCTCTGCATTAACATCATAATCTCTCTCTCCTCTACCCTCTACTTCTACTATGGTGATGGGTATGCTATCTACCCTAACCCCTACCACTTCATTCCTCCCCACCTCTACCACCTCTTTTTCCCCAACCTCCACCACCTCATCTCCTCTCACCCCCTCCACCGTTTTCTCCAAACTAGATGGAGATGGACTACTCTCTGCGTCCATGCTCCCATAGTCTAGGGGCATCACCTCACTCCCAACTACACTTTCTGTTCCTTCTGAGGACATTTTCTCAAGCTCTACACGAAGTAGGGGGGAG